AAAAAAGTGATTGTGCATCAAATATGCCTGAAGGATATCCGCCTGGCTCAGAAGATAGTTTTATTATTGCTGTAAATCCATATTTTTTAAAGTCATAAGTGTTGTAATCTATTCCGAATTTATTTCCAGCAAATGGAAGACTAAAATAATATGATTGACTTTTTCCTTGAGATGGTTTTCTAATGTGGTTATATTTTTTTCCTGTTTCAAACTTCATTATTATTAATAGCTATCTGTTTTTAAGAAACAACAGTTTTTATGGATATACAATTCTATTTATTATTGAACACAACAATCATTCATCTGTCCCATTTATGGTTAGAGAAGCCTGGTTAGATGAATCAGTGTATGCTTTGCATTTATAATTTTTGAGTTCATGTATTCTAACTGTTATTTGTTATAATAAATAGTTTTTGTTGTATCTTTTGAGTTGTTAAGTTTTTAGCTGGTATATATAATTTTCTGATCTGTGTGGTTAATAATCACTTAATAACGTTACCTGTATTTGTAATGAAACGTTGTGTTCAATAATAAATAGAAGTCTTAAAACTGTTGTTTCTTAATGTGCTGTGATACTTCTAAATGTCTTACTAGGATTAGTTATCTCACTATCATCAATATTTTGAATTTGCTGTTTAATATTTGTTAGTTCTTTTTGTAATTCAGTTCCAAATTTAGTTAATTCACGTTGCAATTTGTCTTCACTTATACCTGGATTAATATTATCTACTAGTTGTTTAAGATCTATTTTTTGCATTGTAATCTAAATTAGATATTAATGAACTTAAATTTTGTAACTGAGTTTTATCCACTACATTGACTAATTGTGGTTGAATAGCGACTATTTGTTGTTGTATGTCACTATCATCACTAAGTTTAGTTTCTAATGCGGTTAATTTGTCTTCACTTGGATTAATATTGGCTATTAGTTGTTTAAGATCTATTTTTTGCTTTGTAATCTTATCATCTAAATTAGATATTAATGAACTTTAAGTTTGTAACTGAGTTTTATCTACTACATTGACTAATTGTTGTTGAATAAAAAATTTTAAACTTCTTACTACTTGTTGTAATTTGGTATATATGATCTAATTCTTTCAGTTTACTTTCATCAATAAAATTTTTATTATTTTTTTGTCGTTTGAAGAATCTTTTCACATCATTTATTCTTTCTTTTAAATAGTCTTTATCTACTTCAATTAAATGTAATTGATCCATTAAATATTTCTGGTGAACAGCATCATTATCATATTCTGGTAACTTTAAATTAGTTATGGCAAAATTATGCATGTCAATATCACCTGGTAAGGAATCTACAATTTGATCTACAAAGTAAGGTTTTGCTTTATTTATCCATGATGTAGTGTTGGGGTTTTTAGTTTCTAAAGGTAAAGAACCCAATCCAAACTTGTTTGACATTTTCATCAAGTATAATGTCTTCAAACTGGTTTCCTAAACTTAACTGATATAAAACCCAAAGTGAAAGTTGCCCACAAAACTTTTGACCCGGTATTTGTATTTGGAATGTAGAACATTTAATTGGTTGATTAGATTCATTATCTCTTCAGTGGGTTCTAATCCGAAAGAATAAAAAAAAAGTTATTTAAAGAGACTTTGTATAAAGCAGAGTGATGAACTCCGGTTGGTTTGATCTGAAGTATGAATATTTGTTAGAGCATAAAATTTGCCTTTTTTCATTCTTGAAATTATTTATTTCATATCTTATACAATAAAGACTATAACTACTTTTGTGATATGGTTTTTAACGTCTTGTTTTGTTGTCACTATGTGACTCCTTTCTGTGATATTGATAGTTGTTATACTGTTTTAGTTTTTATTATTCTATCGTATTCTGGAGCTATATAGCCGGTTAGGTGCTGATGCTCTCTAATGCATTTCATTTCATTTCATTAAGTTTTACGTAAATATCTAATTAATAACGCTCTCTGGAGATGTTTACCAGCTAAAATAACTAATACAAACAACAGAGCTGAAAATATCCATAAGAGATTAGTCCTAATCCACCATAGTTCTAATCATACTCAATCATTCTTGGAGTTAATTGTGTGAGGTTGGTTGGAATAGTCGGTTTTGTAGGTTCAATAGTCATTTAGGTAGGGTTAATGTTGAGATTGAAGTGGATGGTTGGGTTAGGTAGGCGCCAATTTCTCTTTTCGCTTCGTCTTGTATCTCCGGTTCAAGTTCCTGCAGACACTAACAAGCTTCATGCCATTTAGCCTCTCCCAGGAGACTGGCCCTCCTCCTATTGTGCCAACGGGAGAAATGAAGTTGCTTTGTGTCGCTCTCGTCTTGGACATACTCATACTCGATCGGTTCACGGCTAAGTATCCACTGCGAAGAAAAAATGATTTAAAGTTCAAGGGAGGTAACTGATGATATTATATACTGTTAACAATTAAAGGGAGGGAACTGATCACAAAGTTACAAGGCCCAAAACAATAAGGACATGACATTAAATGAGAAAGCATGTCGAAATAAAAAGTGGAAGTGTCAAAAAGAGTAAGGCTTTGGGCCTGGCTTTCTGAGTTATTGCCATTTGTACAAACTTGTCAAATTCGGCTCGCAGACGCGATAAAGACTGCAGTTTTTATCTAATTTTGATGAAACTGGATATGCATGTATATTTAAATGATCAAGTTAGAAATTGGTAATAATCTGATGAACAGTTTCAGAGTTACTGCCCTTGTGTGTACAGCGATGAGACATTGCTCATGTTTGAATTTGATGATAATTTGATGAACTGTTTCAGGATTTTGCCTTGACTTATAGACTTTAAGATTATTTGATAATTTATTGTTAAGCCACAAAAGATTTTCTTATCATTTGTCTGGCAAGCTATCTTTATTTTTCGTTATGGATTCGTTTGATTCTTATATACCCACACGCAGTATGGTCTGTTTACACTTGGGGAGTGCTCACAGGCTTCCATTCTTGATGGATTCTTTTGATTTGCAATTTGTACTGCTATATAGTACAACTTATGCACAC